AATTGTGTGTTTTTTGCCAATTTTATTATCCATTGCACGAAAAGTTACAAAAACGACAGCAAATGTTGTCTTTTTTCATAACTGTTTCTAAACATAATCTAGTAGTGAATGGATAAAGACTGAAAGCTACCATCCCTTCAGTGCCTCAACTAATAATCCAATGCATTATTATAAAGACCTTATCTTTTATATTATAAGATCTTGATGGAAAAGAAATTGCTTTTTATGTTATATTCTGCTCTTTTTCTGTCAATAAAACTTTCTATTTTTTCAAATATACTTATTATAAAAAATGTGTTTATTTTCTTACAATTTATTACGAATTAAAATTATATTTAAAAGTTTTACCATTTTAAAGATATTAATTGTGCTTAACTTTTTTGAATCATACAAATCGGTGAGTATTTTAAAATTTATTAACACAATATCTATGGGCAAAGTTAATATAAAGATTCTTATACTTCTACTATGTATATTAAAAGTGTTTACATTATTTGTTTAGAAAATTTTTAATGATTAGTAAATTAATGCCACACTGGTGCAGATTCTTATTTTAAGCATAGTACAAGTGTTATACAACAATATTGCTAAATTAATAAAAAAAATGATATAATGAAAGTTAGATTAAAATATTTTGTAAAGGATTTAAATTATTATTAAAATTAAACAAAATGTTTTACAAATTCATACATAATTCCTATATTAATATTTTACACATAAAATAGATTTTTGTCTGTAATTTATATACAAATCTCTTTATTCCTTAAAGAGATTACAAAACATAATATACAAAGAATTCTAAATCTTAAAATATTCTGTTATGTTATAAAAGGATTACATAGTATTTGATATACAGTATTGTACATTAAAACACAGTATAATGAAAATAAAATTTCTGCATTCTTGTTGAAATATATTTCAATTGAATTCAATTCAGTGAAACTGCTGTCAGTCTGTCAGTGATATTATACACTGATATATTGGTTAAAAGTCAATTTACAATCAATACTTGTTTTCAGGCTTTTTTAAATCTTACGAAAGGCATACTTAAATCGCATAAAAGTATGAATTCCTGACAGTTTTGAATAAAATTTATAATGAAGTATATCTTAAAGTTAATGAAATATTATTTAATTAAAAAATAAACAAATCTTTTGATTATTGCAAGATTTAATCAGTATTTAAAATATACTTCCAAATTGTAGTTTAAATACAAGAGTTAATTAGTTTTTTAATTGATTATTTGCTATTTAAGTTTAAATTAAGATAATGTACAGTAATAAAAAATTACTAAAAAATTTCTACTGTAAATATAATTTAAATTTATTTGAATATACAGTATGTTAATAGTTGTAATGAATGGTAATATAAACATGTTCTAAATTATTCTAAATTTAAATAGCATTTAAATGACGAAAGTTTAGCAAAAAGGCATTCCTCCGGATATGAGGGTCAAGAAGTCCATGAGATTGTATTTCCACGCATTAGTCGATCGGAGAATAGATTCCGAAGGAATTCGCAAAGAAGTGATTGGTTTGAATCCGAGAAGAAATCACTTTTATTAAGCGAAACGATTGTCACAATCAGAGCGGAAAATATTAACACAACTTTCTATGTTTTGGTTCAACCAAACGATAACTTCATATTAAATGACCTCTCATTTGAAGAGTGGGACCAAAGGAAGGGACAAAACACAATGAATAGCAATCATAATAATTGTTTGTATACCGGAATCATATTGTCTCCGGTGAAGGGAAGGGCTGCCATCACTCGCTGTGATAATAGCGACAAAATGGTTTGTTTCATATTTCATCATTTCTTATCATATGGTAGTTAACATCTTATAGAGTGATATAATGAGTGCCAGAATAGCAATTATTTTCCATTAATTAATAGCATTTTATTAAATAAGATTATGTCATTTCGTAAATTACTTCATTAAAAGTAGTAATAAATTATAAGTTATTTTGTTTTGTTATATCTGTTGCATAAATAGTACGCTTTGATAATAACGGAAAGCAAAGGGTCTTTTGTTTTACGTCCTCTGGAGTCCACATATTATCGAGAGATTAAATCAAAAGTCAAGAAAAAGCACACAATGTTTGATCCAAAGCTAAAGAACGCCAAAAGAACTCTCATTAATAATAAGCATAAAAATAATTTAAAGACTTATTTGAGTGGCGATCAGAACTCAACCAAAGGAATGGCTGACAAAAAGGCTGACAGAGAAGATGTATCTGAATTCATGGCACACGTATTGGTTAGAGTCAATCAATCAGAGACTGAATTCTGTGATCTGGCTTTCATTGGTATGAATTGCTTTGCTTTTACTTTAACATCTGTTTGTAAAATAAATTCTCGATTTTAATTTACTGTTAACTTATTGTGTGATTAACTTTCGTTTCTTGAAAGGGATTTGAGAGATAGAAATATAATACCAATTCAATCACACACTTGTATTTCGCTTCTCTTCGACACACTTTCTATATAAATAGCATTTATCCGGAGTTTGTGCTAAATCTCTAAACAATTCTAATTTTAATTAAAAATTTTCATTATAAGCGAAATATTTTGCTATGGTTTTGAAAATACAATCAAATATTGTTTTAAACTAATCATTTGCACAAAAATCTATTTTTATCTCAAATATTATAAACGATTGAATTCACAGATGAAAACGACAGAAGAGAGGCATTTAATGAATTCATTGAAAGCAAAGCAAACAATTCTGTATATAATATATCGAAAGATATATTTCTTAAAAGAAAGCGAAGAGCAGTGACTCAGAAGACAATAGAGACGGCGGTCTATATTGATAGACATCTATTGAAACGGTTTAATGGTTTGCGTTCAGAATTAACGCGTTTAGTATTGGCGATCATGAATGAGGTGCAACTCATCTACACTTTTAAGTCAATGAAAACCAGAATCAAAATTGTAATCAAGAAAATGGTTTTTCTCAGTCAACCAGACAATAGTCCCAACACTGCAGAGGGAGATATCGACGAATATTTAGACAACTTCTGCAGCTGGCAGTCGAAGAAGTGGAGGCAAGAGAACGGATCCAATCGATGGGATCACGCGCTTATGCTCACCGGGTTTGACATTATAACTACTATATCACTTACATTGACCCCATTTTTGAATAAAAAAAATATATATTTATTATTTGTTTTAAAATGAGCTTAAATACAATTTCGTAGAAAAATAGATTTAAATAAAATATGCGCTCAAAATAAAACACTCTTTGGTTTTCAAATGAGATTTATATTTATTTTGCCGATAGCTTATAGAACTGTACTGACAGACAAAATATTATATTTTTAAATTCAATAGCAAATAAAAAAATGATTACAATTAGAGCACATCTGTAAACATTGAACGACAGGCCGAACGCATTACTGAAACAAAAAATTATAATAATTTAATTATTCATTAGATTAGATCTGTATAAACAAAGCGGTGATAAGAAAAACAAGAAAGTGTTGGGTATGTGTCTGTCTTTCGATGCATTTTTTCAAATCACATCAATGGAAATCAAATCAATATTTATTGAGTGCTTTTTCTCTTACATGACTTAAATGTTGAACAATCGTAAGGTCTGGCGTGGGTTAACGGTATGTGCAAACCTGCCTATAGCTGCACATTAAATGAGGGCAAGAGTTTTGAAGCGGCGTTTGTGATCGCACACGAAATGGGACACAGGTTTGCATTATTAATATTCTTAAGCCATTATCATAACAATTGTTACAAATTCTCGACCATATTCTGTCCGAAATGTCTCTGATTTATAACATTTTACAAAAAGCTTTGTATGGATATTCTTTGTTATTCTTTCAAATTAGAATTTATAATGAATTTAGAAAATATTGATTATATGTTGTGTACATACATATAATCAATATTTATATTGTAGTTTAGGTATTCTACACGACGGCACCGGCAATAACTGTGACGGCGATAAGTTTATTATGTCCGAGAAGACTGGCCCTGGTAAAATCAATTGGTCACAATGCAGTAATATATATTTGGAGAATTTTTTGGCGTATGTATTGATAAACACACATGTGTGTTTTTTGTATTTTATAATTAAATTTTTTACATGAATGCATTTATTTATTTCTTTTTTTGTGTGGATTTTATACAGATTTGATTTGAAATTTAAAAACATTTTTTTCAAAGGATATCACGAAAAATATCATATTTATAGCAATAAATGGGAAAATAGTTTGCATACAAATCGAGGGATATATACTGTATATATAATATTGAGATTGTGATCGACGGGTTCGGCCAATCGAGAGATCATATTTCAATATAATTTAGTTTTTTATTTTCATAGACTTTCTTCTCACTTATTCTCGTGAAATATTAGATCAAAATAACATACAATTCACTTCAAAAGTTGGGCTTTATTTAGGAATTTATGAAACTTTTTCTTTTTTTTCACATAATATTGATATATAATTTACACAGAATTTGATTCGCTTTTTGTATCTCAATATAAACTCTCTTTCCATTCAATACATTTTATATACATTTTATATCACAATAGATTTTCGTTAAAAATAATTGCATTTCTCTCGCGTTTCCAATGAATATAACAAATAAACAAATATATAAATAAAAACTTTAGACAAAATTTATTAAGAATGGGATAAATAATAGAATTTTATCTGGTTTTACAATACAATGACAATTTACAAGAAAAATTTATATAAAATTAATATTGATTAAACAAAGCTATTATTGATTATGACTTAATTTCTTTTTTTTATTATAAAATGGTTGCAAAGGATTTACAAAATAAAGTCAAATTTTGAATTCAAATAAAGCAAATGTATTACAATATACTGTAAGCGCAAACACAACTAGACTTAAGTTAAAAACACCGTTTTCCAAAAACGTTAAGAAAATATATAAGAAGTTTTAACACTTATGTTAAAGCCTAACATAATATGCGATATTTACTAAAAAATAAATATTCCGCTTATTTTGGTTTATATAACAGTAAAGCAAATGCCAAATGTTTGGACGACGAGACCATTTCGGGAGACTCTGAATACAACTTTCAACGAAGCAATCGATTGCCTGGAGAACAATACCCGCCTAATAAACAATGTCAGTTAGCACTCGGCACACAATACAGGGCCTATACTTCATCCAAAGAGCCATTCAATGTAATTCACGTATATTTCAAATACAAAATCTTGTTTTTATGTATTTTAATCAGAAACGATGTTTGAAATATCTTTTTACGTTTGTATTCATAGTATGAATGCTTTTCGTATGAATTGTGAAAATATTTCATTTGAAAACTCAACGCTTTTATATCCAATAATACTCTTTATTGACTAAAAGGATGTGTGTTTAACAGGATATATGCCGTGAGTTGTGGTGTTTATCGGGTTCGTGGGCAACACCAGCACATCCAGCACTGGAAGGCAGTACGTGTGCCGACGGCAAGAAGTGTATCCAAGGTGTCTGTCAGAGCGCATCGGCATATGTGGCCCGACGTTCAATAGAGACCTTCAATCAAAACTCTAAAAAACTTTTGAGACACGAATCGGCCGAAAGTCAAACCAACCGATTGGCAAAGAACTCGTCTAATGATAGTAAACACACGAAAGGCTTCTCAAGAATATTCATGGATAGCATTAAGGGATTCCTTCGCTCAGCAACTAATGGCGCCCAAGACTTCTTCAAACTATTCACCGGATAGTTATTAACAATGAAAATATTTAATTAATTTGACATAACATAACAAATTTCTATGCAAATAAAACCATATTTTAATATAAATTAATTTTATAATTAAATTTTATTATACCATACATTCAGAGATAGCTAAATCTAATGTGAAAATAAATTAATAGGTAAAAAACACTTTTATAATTAATTGTACTAAAAATAAATAAAAAACAAATTAAATTGAATTGTTACAAATTTTTAGTAAAATTAAATAACATAAATTTGAACAAAACATAAAATGCTGTAAATATAAAGATCTTCTGTAAGAGTATATTTATAATGTCTTTTTGTAACTTTAATACAATTAAATAACAACTTTCAATAAATTATATTTAAAGTTTAGTAATGATCTAAAAAATTTAATAAATTTATGTTAAAAATAAGATAAATGTAATCTATTTTAAACAATTCAATAGCAAAGCAATATTTTATATTACAAAAGGTTTTTATTAAATTATTTTTGTTTAGTTTTTTGTTTGCAAATTAAATAAAGTGTTTAAAACGTTGTGTCGGGAGAGATGTGTTTGAATTCTTCGTCAGTCAGTGGTAACCATTTTTTGCCAAAAATCTTTGATATTTCTTCAAATGTCTTCTCATACGAACGGCTATTGGTTTTGAGCCAAAGGTAATACCCGTCCGACCATTGAGTCTGTCGTTTCCAATCAAACCTTTTAATGATTGCATTCTTTCGGACCACAAAACGGGTTAAACTTTCGGCCGTCGTTACGATCACCAGTAGAGTAGCCGTCGATATCAGTTCACGGATTATTAATGTCTTAAGATTGACACACATTTGGCACAATAATACCTAAATCATTATTATAATCAAATTCAGTGTTTTATACTTATAATAATGAATCTTATTGTAAATATATGTGGATTGTATAAGACATTAATTTTATTTATTTATCCAAATTCTGGCCATTCTATCACTTAATGCCTGAATTAATCTTAAGATTTCTAATGATTAGTAACAATGGATTTAATGGTTGTGTGAAATGGAGGAAAGTTGGGTTGGGCTCCAAGTCTGAGCCCTTTCTCTCTATTAGATCTCTCTATTAGAGAAATAGATTATGGCTTCAGATGTGATTACAATGAATGCTATTATTGATTGATTAGTCTTCACTGAACATAATTGAATCCCAGCGCCACTAATGATGTGTTAATTAACTTATTTTTTATATAAAAATTTTCATTAACTCAAGAAGTGTTCGCTTTAAACAAGAAAACAATAAAATAATGAGTAAATTATTTTTGTAAATATCGATTTAATCGAGTGTTACATTAAGTCAATATTAAATAATCGCTGAATTGGTTTAATATAAGGCAAGTATAAGGAAAGAGGGAAAATGTTGATTCAATGCTTAATAGTGTTTAAGTGTATATAAAAGATGTTAATTACTAGCGAAGTGTCGCTTCTCTGGCAGAAGCGTTGAGGCAAATGAAATCGTGGCAAACCGTGAAACGCCAAGTGCTCTAAGTTTGTCGCATACATAGAAACGGCCGTCAGAATGGACTCACACCTCATTCTGCAGAGAGGGCTGTCATATATGATTGATTTGACGGATTCGCTCTCTTGCCACACAATCTGTGACCAAAAAATGAATAAATAAATAATAAATAACTAATTCTCAACAAAAATATATGTCTTCCGAAGTTCTAGTTATTTGTCCGTAAATTATATTTGTTTTGTTTGTTTTTTCCATCCGTTTTGATATGATTTACTCGAGAAATGTATTTGAATTGAAAACACACACAAAAACTTATACATCACATAATACACAGAGCTTTTTGCCGGTAAAGCAATCATTATTATTATTATAGTGTCTTTCGCTAAAGGATAACATTTAAGATCAATAAAAATCTAATTGATGTGCGCTTTAAGTGTCAGAAATAAAACTCAGGGCTTAAGCAAAGAATAGATGTCTTTTGGATGACAAACACCATTAGTTTGAAAATTTCTAAAACAAACTCTTCTGACCTTTTGTTGGGAGAGAGAGAAAGTATTGAAATACGGTTTAAAATCTAATATAACTGTTTAGATATTGGCATATAATGTCTCCCCAAAAGGCATACTATTTTGTTAAAATCGATTTAAAAATACAAGGGTTTTAAACCTTGAAAGAACATCGACCATCTACAGTAAAACTTCAGACTTATTAACAAAAGGATTTCAGGTTATTTGGTTAATAACATTGATAAGTTGACAGCAAAGAGATTATTTTAAAATTAAGTCTATGGGTTGTGTACTGTATTTGAAATTTGATTGATAACATAGTATAGTTGACAGAATAGATGGTTGATAACACACAAGATTTTCTCTATCCCTTAAAAGTAGTCATTACTCCCGAACCCGATGTCTGTCAAACAAACGGACGCTACCAATAAGCCCTGTCGACGTGTCTATCATTTCAATATTAAATGGTGAAGAGTGACAGCATAGTTACCGACCCTATAGGGATGGTCGGTGTCCTTTATGCTCCTTTTTGATCAATTCATAATAATGTGTGAGAAAAGTGAATATAAAGTTAATAAATTCTGTTTGTATTTATAGTAAATATATTTTCAAAAAGCAATAAATCAATAATAATTTTGTTTCCAAATCAAAGAGTTATTGATTTTTAAATTCGCTTATTATTGGATAAAATGTGAAACCAAAATAAAAAGTGATTAATAATATAATTAATGGCATAAATGTTGGAACAGACCTGAGTGTCGACTCTGCCGGTGACGACCAGATGTATGCGCAACATTGGGCTCCGGTTACGACACTCCCTCCATGTCTTGCCCGATACGGGCCAACACTGTTCCGTATATTTGTTTTGAACGATCCATAAGTCTCTCAGTTTGGTCTCAGACAACAACTCGACCACATCTTCGCTCAAATGCTGTCAAATATAACACTTTATTCATTAAAACTTTTTTCTTAAATTATTTTTTATTTTAATTAATGACATCATGTGTTCAGTTATGCGGATAAGTGCTTAAGAAATATAATTCATTAAAAGGATTATTTTAAAAGCAATCAAAACTTTAAATTAAACGTGGATTGAAGTGGACGTGAAGTGTGTGAAGATGTGTTATATTTAAAATAATTGAATGTGTATTGAAGTATAAATTTAACGGAAATTGCACTTACAATGGGGTAAATATTTTTACTTATTTTTGCATTGCATTATCATACAATTCTTATATAATAAGCTTTAAAACTAGAAAACTTACATGTTTAAAATATGTCCAAACCTTAAGTTAAGTTACTAATTTCATAACTATAACAACGGATTTAGTATTCAATTTTATTTATAAAAATTGATGCAAAATTATATATTTATAGCTTTAGCAAAACATGACTTTCATCGAGTTTGTTGCATTAAAATATATACTTTTATAACTATTAAATGTTATGCCATTAAATGAATATAAAATTCTAATCTAAATATAGTAATGAATTTATTATTTTGTACAATATTTATATAAAGAATAATTATATTTAGAAAACATGATATTTATATTTATTAACTTTGAATATGAAGTGTGATTAACAAAACTAAACACTAATTGCTTTTTAGATTTTCAACAAATTAATGATACTCTGGTGCAGTCATACAATACAGTACTACAACTTTTAATTAATATTTAATTAGCTATTTAAAATGACATTCCTGTTTTACTGTACATTGATTTGCATATTTTATTTATACCAAATTCATAACTAATTAAAAGAATTTTAGTTAAAACATTTCTTTTTGATAAAAGATTGTTTATTGTTTAAAAATTAATATTTAGTATTCTTATGTATTGTAAGAAAGAGAAAGTATTGAATAGAGAATTCACTACATAAAGGTTTGGTTTGGATTTAGGGGTTTACTTCGGATTGTGTCAAAGATTTAATGAAAATAGTGGTTGATTATTAAAAATCCCAAAATTTTACGACTATTTAAAATATGACTTAAATATTGAATCGATTGAATACCTGCGGAGAAATGACCAAAAGTTTCAAATTGATAAACACTCCGACATGTAGTATAGGATAGGGACGTTTGGAGCAATTGATCACTTTTAATGTGGTCAGTGTTTGGCAACAATTGATGGCCACGTCGTCCAACAGATACTGGGCTTCGTTTGGCTCCAGTAATAGTTCTCGAAGTGATAGGTATTGAAGACCTAAATATAGATTTTGGCATAAAATGTAACCATTAATGTAAATAATCCAAAGTTAACGTTAAATCATAAAGTATTTTCTTTTTGATAAAAAAATTATTAATTAAGACTTAAAACAAATAAATGACGGATTAATGATATGAATGACATTTAGTGACACTTTCTCTTCTGTTGCCTTTTCGTAACATTTTATTGAATGTTTCATAAAATTAAACAAATATTTGATGTGTTTTGATGAGCGAAGGACACATCAAATTGTTGGATTTAATTATAGATTATTTCAATGAGAATATATAAATTTACACCAAGAAAAATGTTAACAAAATGCTATATATTTTTATGAATTAATGTTTTTGAATTATAGAAATGTTTGAATAAGTTTTCCCTAAATAAATAATGTGTAATATTTTTATGTGCAAATATTTTATAAATGTAATTTCAATTTATCTGGAACAATATTATTGACAATATACAGTATGTGCTATTCAATTAAAATTAACTATTTAATTTAACGGTTTAAAACAGGATAAAACTATCAAATTAAACGGTATTCGCTAATTGTAATGGCAAAATTAACTATATTAAATTATTACACGACTATCAAGGTTAAAGTGTGGTATGTTTAACATATATTTGAATTTTCATTGATATTTAAAGAGCTCTAAATTTAACTACAAATATATTTTTACTCAATAATAAGAATTTTGTTTGAATTTCTGATATTCTATTGTAATATTAAAAAACTCAAATAAATACACAATTATAATAATAGGATGTAATCAATATAACGACTATGTATTGAACTTTTTGGATCATTTGTTATATATTTCACTCGAGTTGCTCTCTAAAGAAAAGTCTACTTAAATTTAAAAGTCAGTTCAAACCGATATTTAGTTGCAATTTGTTTTCATTTTTTAAAAATTTTATTATAAACTTCATATTGAATTGTGGTTAAAAATAATTCAAAACTTTTTATTTTCAATTATACCAAATATTTATAGTTACAAATATATTGTTACAATATTAAAAACTACGAAATATTTTTCTGTTATGAAAATGTTAAATATTAAAAAATATTTCACAAATATAAACGAAATCTTTATCTACAATGTGTTAATGAAATGATTTGTTTATTTAAACTAATATATCATTTATTAATATTCTAAATCTTAATAAAATAAAATTGTGAAACTATTCGACGAATGCTATAAAACTCAAGGAAAATATTATTTAATATAAAATGTTTTAAAAAGTATTTATTTTTGGAAAATTGAAAAAAAGTAAATATTGTTCATTTTGGTGGCGTTATTAGAAAAGCAATACAATTGCAAACATTTAATAAGATATAAGTTACGGGATATATATTTTTTATATTATATAAAACGTATTTAATATAACTCTATATAAAAACTTTATTTAAAAATCTATTTTTTTTGTCTATTTATGACATACATTGAGGAGAGAATGTATGACTTTTATTGAAAATAAATTAAAAACCCACCACTTATTTGAACAAATAGTTGGCTTATATTACAACTACAATAGCGTATCATTTAATTTCACTAATGAATGGTTTCACTGAAA